TCATATGGTGGGTTGACATTGTGATTATTTTGTGAAGAACCAATTTTTTGTTGTATTAAACAAACTGCACTGAGTTAGTGATAATACAGTGTGGAGCTGGAGGAACACAGCAAGCCAGGCAGCATCAGAGGAGCAGGAAAGCTGATGTTTTGGGTCAGGACCCTTCTTTCTGACAGTTCTTACTATCTCTTGTATTAGTCCTATGAGTTTTAAGAAATTTTGTAGAATTACTTCACTCAACAAACTGTGCCACATTAATTTGACATGAATTATTCATGTTAATTTTTTTCACATTTCAAAATGTGAAAATGAACACCCATATCAGCAGTTCACACTTTCGACTTGCTGTACAAGTCAACCCCATTTTTGGAGGCTTCAATGGTTGACTTATATACATTGATGTGTTGACGTCGATTGTGTTTTCGATTCTCTTTGCTAAACAACTTTACCCTTGACTCCTGAACTGTGTAACTTCCACATAAAAATCTGAAAAGTGAAGGGTAATTATTTTTACAGCAACAAGGAATGAAAACAAAACAGACATTCATTTAAGAATCAATTCAGAATTCCTGAAATGGATATCATTCTGAAGCAGTTGATCTCAGCTTGAGTGGGATTGGGCTAGTAAGGGAGTAGGAGTAGCTACCCTCGTATGCCTGTCTTGATAATATCTGCTAATCTCTGTTGTTTAATATTGGATAAGCAGAAGATTGGACTCATGGTTGAAAATCCTGCTAATGCTTAGATTGGTATATTAAACAATGGCATCATTACTGAGGACCCAAAAGATTGCATCTCAGTATGTGTCATTATACAAGTCACTATTCTCAGTATATGGTGGTAAAACTAGTATATCTGAACCTATTGGAGAAACAGTCAATGCAATATTCTAATCTCACAGTTCAAATGAAACATATAAACCATTTAGTTTATATTATTTGGAACTTCTTTATTACTTCCCACTACTAACCTTTATGTATTTACTGTTTGGTTTAATAGTAAAAAGTAGATGTGATCACTAAGCAAGACATGTATTATAGTTTATGGTTAGGTCGAATTAATGCACAGCAGAATATACAGTGCAAAGCAAGGTAACAAAGTGGGCTAAAGAGTATATGTACCAGAAACAGTGCTTGGAATTATCTTTACAAACAACAAATTACATTGGTAGGGCCAAATGAAGAGAGTTGAAAGTGCATTTTCGTAAATGTCAATTGAGTATTTTAACAAACAAATCTTAGCTAACTGTCAGTGATGGCTGATACATGCAAAAATAGCAACATGGCATGAAGTTTGCTTTCTGTCTGCAACAGCATGGGGATTACAAAAGCATTTCACATATTTTAAAGAAATGTTCGCAATACCCTTTTCCCTAATCAAAATGCAAGATTACATTCAGTGACTTAAGTTAACTGGGCCAGAAGTCACACAACATTAGGTTATAGTCCACCAGGTTTATTTGAAATCACAAGCTTTCTGAGTGCTGCTCCTTTGTCAGGTGAAGTCTGAAGAAAAAATTCCTCTGCCAGTTTCTCAGCATTCTAAACTTTTATTTTGTTAAATTTAATGTCCTACCTTGTCTTCACATTAGAAGACTTGACCTGACAAAGGAGCAGCGCTCTGAAAGTTTTTGATTTCAGATAAACCTGTTGGACTATAACTTGGTGTCGTGTGACTTCTGACCTTGTCCACCCCAGTCCAACACCAGCACCTCCACATCTTAAATTAGCTGTGAATCTGGCTAAGTCACGTTCCAAAAAAATCAATACAGTTTTTAAACACGAACATGGTGAAACATTTTGCAAGTATTTCAAATCTTCAGTTTATTTCCCTTTCTGAAATATTTCAGTGAAATAATTTTGTGATTTTTACTGGATGGAGTTAATGCATTTCAGGAAATGTTACAGAAACCTTCCCTAAAAATGCTTCTTACGGTATAGGTCATCTTGTGTCAGCTCCAGCACATCATCTTTTCAGCAGCAAGCCAGTCACTTGCAATTGTAAAGCTTGTATCTTTTTATTTTTCTGTATTTTTGGTTGTGGACTGAAGTAGGAAGAGGACTGTTTAAAAACCAAGGAAGTTTAAAGGATTGCTGCCATTTTTAAAGTAAGTTACCTGACACTTATTGCAAGAGGTATTTACACAGCTGTTTGATCAAGCAAAGGGAGAAATCTAGTTACAGATGAGCTGGAGCAAAGGATATGCATGAATGGAGTTTTGGCTATCAACAATAGCTGATTTTTCTGTGGTAAGGTGGCCTGTTATAGAATGACAAAATTGTTTGGCAGGCAGAAGGCCTACGTGATTGGCGCTCCAGGTAGCTTGTGGATGTGAATGTTTGTGGAGAAGCCATCAAATCTCCGAAAGGGAAAGAGCTGACCCTTTTCTCTGCAATAAAGACCACCTCAGATCTGAAGAAAGAATTTATTTCCTTTCAGTAGTTGCTGTAATTTGTGTTTTTTTTAAAAATCAGTCAGAAATGCTGTAAGTGTGAACTAGCCACCCTATGCCTCCTGCAAGTAAGTGAAAGTACCTGGGGAAGGAAGATCAAGGAGCTGCAATGTGACAAGCAGAAAGAACCATATTGAGCCCTGGGGTCAAGGAATGCTGAATTGCCTTTCCAGTTTTTCCATCCAACCATAGCACCCGTCTTTTTAACCCGTCCGTGTCTGTATGTACGTGTAGGGGAGTACATAAGAGGTTTAGAGGTTTAACTAGTGGATTCACATGTCAGTGGTTCACAGTCATTTAACTGTAGCTAGAATGTATTTATTTTGATAAATAGTAATTCTTGTTAAGTGCTGAAACCTGATCCATACTTTCTGTCAAGCTGGGTCAAAAAGACAGCTAACTTGTGGAATTCTACATATGTTTATAAAATCTTTAACTTCTGTGATAATTCTGGAAAGAGTGGGCCTTGATTTCAAGTGTATTGTCCCAGTGAGGTGTAACACAACCTTTGAGCTAATGCTTGTTAACATGCTTCATTGTATTGCAGTTTTAGGTCCCACCTTTATATTATGGGAAGGCTGTTTTTTTAAAACAAAATATTAAATTCATAGATATACTAAAAGGGAGTTACAAAATTGGACTAGAATCCATCATTCCCTTTGTTTAACAATGATTCTAGAACTTTGTAACTGCATTTTGAACTATTTGCTGATTAGTTTATACTTGAGAGACAACTTTTTCACACAGGGGCTGGTATGTGTATGGAATGAGCCGCCAGAACAAGTGGTAGAGGTGGGTACAGATATGACATTTAAGAGACATTTGGACAGGAAAATAAATAGGAAAGATTTAAGGGATACAGACCAAACCCAGGCAAATGGGACAAGTTCAGTTTGGGATATTTGATTGGCATTGACGAGTTGGACTGAAGGGCCTGTTTCCATACTGTAATACTTTATGACTCTACCATCTTCATTGAGACCATTTACTTAACTACTTCCTTGCAGGGGAGGCAAGATAGTGCATGTCTAAATGCTGCAAAACCTCTACTATATCCAGGCTTGGGCTGACAATTCGTAAGTAACGTTCACACCACAAAAGTGCCAGATAATGATATTACTATCACCAAAACTCCCTACATCCTGGGGATTACCTTTGATCAAAAAATCAAGATCTAGACTAGCCATATTAAAGTTGTGGTTACAGGCGCATGTCAGAAGCTAGGAATCCTGCACCAAACAACTCACTCCTGGCTCCCTATCATCTACAGGGTACAAGTCTGGAGTGTAATGGAATACTCCACACTTGCCCGGATGAGTGAAGTTCCAACAACACTCAAGAAATTTGACACCATCTATGACAAAACTACCTAATTGATTGGCTCCACATTCAGCAACATTTCATTCCCTCTACCACTAACACACAGTAACAGCAGTGTGCACCATCGTAAGATGCACTGCAAGAATTCACTGAGGCTGGTTACACAGCACCTTCCAAAACCCATAACCAGCCCCATCTCGAAGGACAAAGGCAACAGATAAATGGGAACACTACCATGTTCAAATTCCCTTCCAAGCCACACGCTATTCTGACTCGGAAATGTACCTCCATTCACTAGTTACCACTGGGCCAAATTCCTGGAACACCCTCTCTAACGGCATTTGGCTATACCTATAGCAAATGAATTATAGTGTTTCAAGAAGGTCGCTCACCACCACCACCTTCAGGGTGACTAGGGATGGACAAGAAATGCTGGCCCAGTCAGTAACACCCACATCCTATGAATGAAAAAAAACTTGAGTAGCTCAAAACACTGAATACATCTTGGTTTAAAGTATATGATATTATCCACTTAGTATGTAATATTTTGTTCATGGATGCGTCACAAAATTATTTTCGCATTTAAAGTAATTGAAGATTTTCTTTCTGCATTTGGGACTGATGCTGTGCTCCCATAGGGGAATACATTTTGGGATATTGTACTTACCTTTAATTTTCCAAGCTATGTTCCCACTGGAATCACAAAATTATCCACTTTGTATAATGAAACCTCAAAGTCTTCATTAAAGAATATATTTGCGATTATGATGTGCAGTTTTGCCTTGTGAAAGCTTGTTGGTGTACAGAAATAATTCTCCCTGAGACAGAATGACCTTTAGCTGACATCTTTCATTCAATTATATTCAACCTGAAAGACGGGTTCAAATCAAGTGTTTATGTTTCCAATAATAGGAAAGACAAAGTTCTTCAGTGTCCTTCATTCTCAGACCTAGCCCATCTGCGACACACTTAAACTCTTTTGCTGCAAGAATACTGTGTCACCACATGGTGTCCTTACTGTTCAAAACAACATAGCCAACACAACAGCAGTTTCTAGAATGACAATAGATGAATTTAGGTGAAGTTTTCCTCATGAAATCAGAACTTCTAAAATACTTTCATGGCATGTGTTTATCTCATAAACAAGCTAGGATTGAAAGAATGAGTAGTTGAATGTCATGAGAAATGATAACGTTAAGTGTATAATAGCATATTTTGTTTCTATAAGGTTAAAGAAGAAATTCAAACAGACTAGAGCCATCTCTATGAAGTCTCCAGGGAATGAATATAAAAACAGCAAGATGGCCTCCACCACAAAGGATGCAGCTGGGTTAAATTCTGCACCTTGTCTTTCTATAATGAATCCATCAGGAAGAACACGGAGTACTGATTTTCAGCAATATTATTCATTGGGTAAGTATTACCATTTCATTATGTTTACGTATGTGGCACATACTACAGCATGTATTTATCTTATTTAATGAGAACATTATTCTTCTCTGCCAAGTTTGCATCAGATCTTTTTTGAAGATGTTCCAGCTCCCCTTGGTCCATGTTCTTTAGAACCTGCCTTTTACTGGGTCTGTCTGGCCCTGGCTTCTGTTTCCAATAGGTTTGTCTAGGCAGCAAAACCACCAGTGCTCTGCCATTTGAACCTCAGCTTAAATGAGGAGCCTGGACTCCAATGATGTAATTGGCGGCCAGCCTGCAATTTAAAGAGGACTTTTCTGACTTAGGGTAGCTGTCGATGCAACCATCGGAAAGATTGGGAAGGGAAAAGAATGAGTTAAGTCCCTCACTATGTTTTAACTGCGTTCACGTCCACGCATCCCACTGATTTGGAAAAATGCAATTTTACTTAGTGTACTGGCTGACATGCTGTAGTAATGTGACTTCCATCTTTGTTGTAAGTGTTGGTATGCAGTCAGTGGCAGCCATTAAATACACATCACTTGAAACATGATGCCAGGAATGATGCAGTTGAAAATATGTGGATTTTCAGAGCGACCCAATGAAAGAAATGATAATGAAGAAACAAAAATACAGCAGTCTGCAACTTAGAATTACTGGATGAGTCAAAATGCCTGTGTGTTTTCTATTCCCTGCTGCTGTGGAAATGAAGAAGTTATGAGAAAGAATTGGGATTTTTTCCACTCAGTGGCAAAGATTGAAATAGCTGCAGAATTAAGTTTTACAAACCTGACCAAATAATAGAAGCAACCATTAGATAAGTATCAGGGAAAGATGCTACAAGATGTATTGTAACTTGGATTTCACTGAGAGGCAGAAAAGCCAGATGACAGAGATTTTGAATGCTTTGAAAATACACTCTGAACCACATATTAATGCTAAGTATGAACAATATGTGTTCAAAATCCGAGCTCAGGGAGACGATCGATCAATCAGCGCTTGACTATTGATACATCTAGCTGCATTCTGAGAGTTTGGACAACTGAATAATGATCTCAAAGATAGAATGATCTTGGGTATGAGGTCATGCTGTGGGAGCATGTCTGCGAGAGCAGAGAAACCTACTCTCAAGTAAGCTAACAACATGTACAGAAATACTGTGATTATGAACCATTAACTAGAGCATATCAATTGGAGATCATATAAGGGTTTGTATTATGCTGTGATGTGGAGGTGCTGGCATTGGACTGGGGCGGACAAGATCAGAAGTCACATGATACCAGGTTGTGGTCCAACAGGTTTATTTGAAATCACAAGCTTTCAGAGCGCTGCTCGTTCGTCAGGTGAAGTGCATTATGTTGAGAGACATTCCAAGAACAATGGATTGGGAAAAAGGAAGAAATTTTTTGAGAAGAGCCAGCAAGCAGACGGATCTATACCAGAGAACAGTATGTAAATATTAACGAGGACTTCATACAAAAGAAAATAAAGCATGTCCAGCATTGGGAAAGCAGTGCAAAAAGGTTTGCAAAACTTGCAAACGGCTAAATCACTTTGCATGCGAGTGCCTGGCTAGAAAGAACCAACATCAGCCTGTAAAGATGGAGAGATGTTAGCTAATGATTCTTATTTAGCACTCTACACCATATAACAGTTTGGCATCATCAGATCTTAATCCAATAAAATCCAACTGTTGGAATTTTGCCTACAGAAAGAGAGTGTCAAGCAATTGTGAAGTATCAGAAAGACACTGATGCTTCTTGCAACATCATGAGCTTCACAGACCTGTGCAAAGTGGTTCGGTCAAGATTGTAACCCAAAAGTGAAGCCCTTGGAGCTAAGATTGGGGCTAAATAACAAAACAATACCATTCCAAGAGGAGAAATTAAGTTGAGAGCCCAATGCAATGAAAAGAATGAAGTTCTGGAGCTCCAGCCTGTAAACACAATCCACTTATCTCAGCTGAAGCAAATCTAAAGCTAACACTAGTAACTTTAAACATGTCAGAAGAGATTTTCAGTATTTTGCAGGACACTAAGCCATTGTCTGTTGAACATATACTAAACACTTACAAAGATGGCTTACAGGCCTTGCGAAACGTCCTGGTGAATATCATCCTGAAGTAGATGAAATTGTAAGAAAAACTCAGAATCTGTTGTGGAGAGTTCAAGCTGCCAGCCTAAAAGACAAAGTAGAAGAGCTAGAGAATAAGGAAATAATCAAGGGAGGGAAAACCCTTATGAACTAGATTACCAGCATGGTATCAGAGAAAAAACTTGGAACACTGATGTATACATAGAGCGAAAGGATCTCAATAAGGCTTTGAAGGGATCTCACCACTCCATGCCAACCACGAAGAGATGTTGTCACAGTTTTCCAAGCCAAATGTCCTTTCTACCCTCAATGTGAAGGATAGTTACTAGCAAGAGAAGCTGGATGGAAACAGAACTTCCTAATTATTTTCTGAAAGCCATGAGAAAGATACTTATGGTTGCATGTACTGTTTGACATTTCCACTGCTCCAGAAAAGTATCGGTACAGATGGCACAAGGTAGTTAGTGATCTTCCCAGAGTAGAAGCTTTTATGGATGATCTCCTAGTCTATGGATGCAGAGACACAATGGAAGAAGCCAATGCAGATCACAACAGAATCTGGTACAACTGCTACAGAGAGCTCACTAGATGAAGCTGAAACTGAACAAGATAAAGATACCAAGGTGTAGAGCTGGATGAACACAGCAGGCCAAGCTGCTTGGTCTGCTGTGTTCATCCAGCTCTACACCTTGTTATCTCAGATTCTCCAGCATCTGCAGTTCCTACTATCTCTAAGATAAAGATACAATTGAGGATAAGGTCACACATGACACTGGAAGGACTTTGTCCAGATCCTGGTAAGGTGAGAACTGTAACAGAGATGCAGCAACCAACAAACAGGAAAGCAGCACAATGGTTTGTTGATTCATATCTGTTTAGCAAAGTTCTTGCCTATTTTTCATCAGTGTGACTGACCCCTGCTCAAGGTTGCTACCATTGTTTAAGATATTAGGACACACAAGAAGCATCTTTCACTAGAATCAACTGATGATGGCATTGCCAGTGTAGAGGTACTATGATGTTAATGATGAAGTCACTTTGCAGTGTAATAACAGGGAGGCAGGACTTGGAGTAGCCCTTATGCAACAAGGACAACCAGCTGCATTTACATCCAGGATGTTCAAGCAAACTAAACTATGCTACACGCAAATTGAGGTAGTGTGTCTGGCCATTGTCTTTGCTCGTTTTAATCAACACTCATCTGGGAGAAGGTCAGAAATCACATGATAACAGGTTATAGTCCAACAGGTTTATTTGAAAACACAAGCTTTCGGAGTCTTGCTCCTTCTTCAGGTGTTAGTGAGAGAGGTAGTATCAGACATAGAATTTATAAGTAAAATATCAAAGGGTCACACCATTGATGAGGATGTACTAAACAAACCTAAGATGCTGTTAAATCTTTAATCAGTTAGAAGGTTGTAATTGTTTAATATTTAATTGATTAATATTTTAATTGATTAATCTAACTGATTAAAGATTTATCAGCATCTTAGGTTTGTTTAGTACATCCTCATCAGTGGTGTCACTCTTTGATCTTTTACATTTAAATTCTGTGTCTGATACTATCTCTCTCTCTAATATCTGAAGAAGGAGCAAGACTCCGAAAGCTTGTGTTTTCAAATAAACCTGTTGGACTATAACCTGGTGTTGTGTGATTTCTGACCTTGTCCACCCCAGTCCAATACCGGCACCTTCACGTCATTGTTTGGGAGAGACACAGTGACAGTGGAGTCTGACCACAAGCCACTTCAAAGCATCTTCACCAAACCACTTCTACCTACTCTAAAGCATCTGCAAAGAATGTTACTTTGTTTGCCGAGATTTCATCTGGACGTGAAAATACAAGCAAGGGAAATAGATGTACATTTGATGAAATATTATCAAGAACAGTACTCCTTATGAAGAAGGTTGTGAATGCTGCGATAGAGTGTGAAATCATCTAGATTCAACAAGATGCAACAGCTCAATATGCTCTGGAAGTCATTAAACCAGCAGAGACATTGAATCTAAAAGACAAGCGCCTGGCTCAAATCAAGTACAACAGGCAACAAGATGCAACTCTCTAAGTATTGCAAGAAGTAATGATGAAAGGTGGGCCTAAAAGCAATAAGAACACACTGGTTGCTACAACTGTGAACTTCCTGGACATACAGGGATGAGTTGACAGCCCAAGGTAGAATGAAGTGACTTCTGGAAGGAAATAGACTAATTAACCTAAGGAGATGAGAAAAGAGATGCTGAAGCACACATGCAAGAAGGCATGATGGAAAACGAAAGAACTGCAGATGCTGTAAATCAGTAACAAAAACAGAAGTTGCTGGAAATGTTCAGCAGGTCTGGCAGCATCTGTGAAGAAAAAATCAAAGTTAATGTTTCGGGTCCGGTGAGGACCCTTGGGTCTGAGGAAGGGTCACCGGACCCGAATCGTTAACTCTGATTTTTTCTTCACAGATGCTGCCAGACCTGCTGTGCATTTCCAGCAACTTCTGTTTTTGTTCAAGGAAGGCAAGAGAAATGCTGTGATAATCAAACATGAGCAGTGAGGTTAAGCACCACATCAGCTCGTGCTATATTTATAAGAAATTTTTCTTTTATTTATTGCAAAAGTATACATTATTCATAAAAGGAAATCTTTATGTACATAGTTAATGTAGCCATTCCAATCTATACTGTCATTAGTTACAGAAAATGAAATAAACATTGGGGTTCGTTTTTCTCTATATTTACAATTAACCTCTTGACATTTAGCTGAGGCATCAGCAGGGTTTGGTTACTGAATGGACTCCCTGCTTTGCTTTGGCAGAACTACCTTACATGGTGGTCTTTCCTCATTGTGCCTTGGAGGCAGCTGCATCAAGCTTTATTACATCCCTGAGCATGTTGACCTGGACTTTGAAATGTACCAGTCT